TGCGAGAGCGGTTAACTTATTAGACGAGTCCTTGTTCAATCCCTGACCGCCATCCCCTATCTGTTTTATAAGATTTATTAGAAAATTGAAATTAAGTGAAGAAGTTTAAAAATAAAGTGAATAATTAAATTCCCATTTAGGGAATTTATCTCGTATTTAAATTATAATTATAATTATTTCATATTTAAATATTATAATTATAATTTGTAAATAAACCATTGCAATGCGCAAAAGATTAATTTATGTAAATTATATTGCGAATCCTCTTTAATATAAGAATAAATATGTGTTAATTTGTATAAAAATAAATTATAGGTCATAAGTTTATAAAAAAAGGATTGTGATCAGTTCACACATATAATTGTTTATAATTCGTAATCGTCAGGATGGTACAATTCACTAAGTAATCTGTATACATAAGACGGCGCATTTCCACCTCTGAAAAAGAAAGAATAAAAACATTTTTGCTCGAGATTTTAACATTAATCTGTATGATAATCTTAATAATCTTACATGTTTGAGATGAATAATGTAACAAGTTCAGGTGGAACGTAATCGAACACGGGATTGTATGCGTGTATCAGTTCTAGCAATGGTGCGTTGGCACTATCGATTACGCCATTCATCGGCGAAACGTGACTGTTAAAACCATTCTGTTTGTTCGAGCAACGATAAAGGGGCGCCAGTTTGTAGAGAGGCAGCAAAACCATTACTGGAACAGAATAGTGTTTGGCGGCTTGCGCGACAGTGTGTGCGCCCGAGATCGCCCGAAGTCCACCGTTTGCCATGACTGTGTGAGTGCCGATGATGACTTTGTTGACTCGGGACATCATCGCAAAGATCGCTACATCTGATATCAGTGTGGTCTTGATCTTCGCCTTAGCCAGATTCACAGCCATCTCGTGACCCTGCAATCATTCACAGATTTTTCTCTTTTGCATTCTCCTCTGTTTTACTTCGAATCTATCTCCAAGCCAGGTGTATAATTACGCTTAGGGGCGGTCCACCTTCAGCTACTATAACATCAAAGGCCCTAGTAGCGGCAGCTTTTTTGAAAAATTCCTCTACCAATTTCGACTTGCCGATGGTCATTATAATTTCGTTCGAATGTATATGCTCGGATGCTTGTCGTGTGATGTTTTCTGAGCTGCGAATATATTAAATCTGTTCAAAAGACTATTAAGAAATGTATTTCGAAAGATTGTTATGAAATGATATGAGCCGAAAATTATGTCAAAACATAAGCGTTAAGAAGAAATAGTAAACATTGAAATTGAACCAAAAATTTTCAATAATAATTGCTTTCCATTTGATGATATAAGTCGAAATAAGTGTCGTTCTACTTTTGTTACTAATGGAAAGCATTTATAGAATGCACTTATAGTTGCATTACATCATAGAAATTGCATTATTTTTAGATTTGTTCTTTTTCAGCTGAATTTTGTATGCCATATAGCTTTCCTCGTTTTTTTTTCTTTCTATATTAGAAAGAAAAGAAAGATAAAATACAAGAAGTTCAGCTGAAAAGAACAGATCAAATGATACAAATATGATTATAACTCACCATGTTTCCAATTCGGTTTCAAATTCATTAATGTGTTCAATAAGAGATGTTTTGAGGAAAGGTATCGAAACATTGAAGTCTATCTGCTGGTTATCCTCAGCAGTAAGAATTTTGTGCAAGGACTCCTGGGGATACGTCTCATCTGTCTTACTCTTCAATTCCGAAATATATTCTTCCCTAATGATCTGCAATACCCTTCTTACCATATTTCCGATACATGCTTCAAGAGGAAGTGTTTTAATAATATATTTTCCATTTTGCACGACAATATCCATTAAATCCCTAGAAAATCAAGCTTAGAATTAATAATGTAAGTTGCAAAAGTCAATGGGGAAAGTGTTTTCTATTTTGGCAAAATGAACATGTGCTCCGACATATATTGTCACAACAAATGACACGACAGTTTTAAATAACAATTCATACTTTGCTGTATTCCATTCTATATTATTGATAATTTCCTTAAGCACGGAGATAGTAGCTACCACGATATTGTGAGTGCCTTTAATTTCTCTGCAAAATATGATATATTAATTACATTTCCCTCTTTTCATTTTCTTGGAAGTTGAGTAAAAATTATTTTACCCATAGTGAATGCTGTTTGTCAACTTCAGGACACTTTTATTAACGTCTTTCGAATTCATATCAATCATTTTGCTCGCAAGTATATAATTACATGCACTACAAGTATCTTGCTGAGTATTTCATAAATTCTAGAAACTGCTTTCGTCTATACTAAAGACCCTTTAATCAGAAACTGACCATAAGGTCGGAATCAGACTACGCATTGAAGATTGAGGTTGAAGATTGAAGATTGAAATTTGACCAATAAGGACAAAGAAATTTTAGCTCCTTTCGATTAGTTTCAATTGGTCAAATTTCAATCTTTCAATCTTCAATCTCAATATTCAATGCGTAATCTGATTCCGGCCTAAGGATTTCTCCAAAGCGAGAAATGTATGCACACCGCTATTGGTGGAAGAGTGAGATAGCCTATACTCTTTTCTCGCTTGGAGAAATTTGACGAAATTCTTAGGCCGGAATCAGATTACGCATTGAATATTGAGATTGAAGATTGAAAGATTGAAATTTGACCAATCAAAACAATAGGAGCTAAAATTCCTGTGTCCTCACTGTCAAATTTTAAAGTCTTAAACACAATAGACACAGGCAACAGGGAATAACGAGCAGTCCAATCACAGCTCTGGGATATAATATCGAACTTATACTCCAGAGCTCTGATTGGACGGCTCGTTATTCCCTGTTGCC